AAGTATTATTGATATGGTTGGGTTTAAATCTACCATCTTGATATTGTTTTATATTTATTCTTTGTTATTTTTTCCCTCTTTTTCTGCCTATTTCCCCATTTTTTTAATGATTGCATTTTATCTACATCATTGTCTAATTATTTAGACAATTTTCAGAACTTTTAAGTTGCCGTAGGTTTACAATATACATCCTTAATGTATCACTGACTCCCTTCATATATTAAACTATTTTACGGTTAGTATAAGAACCTTTTTAAAACTCACACTTAATGCCAGAGGCAATCTTAAAGGCTAGCTTGTCCTCATCTGAAAGTCTCTCTTCCCTTCACATTCTCCAAGTTCATTATTTATCCCCATTGTATCTAATTCAGTGACTTATAAAAGTGTTCATTATAAAAATATATGTACCAAAAATTCAAGAGTTTAAAACCCTGTAATCTTATAGCATCTTACCGTATTTACTTTGAATCATGTAATTGTAACGATTTTGTTGAAAAAATTTTTAAAAATATAGCTGTTATACATTACTTGAAAATAAAAATATTAGAATAATTTGGGAACTGTGTTACCTCATTTGCCCTTCTCAATATAGTGGCTTCCTTGTGACCTTTTTCATTGTTTCACTGTTGTCTCCTCTATTATTCTGTATACTTCAGCTTCTTTAATGTTCCTTCTTGCCTCTTTCTATGTGTCTTCTGATTAGCCCTCCTTAGATCACACTCTGTTTGCCTGGCTCTCTTCATTTATATTGCTAATTGTATAATGTCATTCTGTAGTTTTAATATGTCTCAGTTCCTCCAGCCTTCTGGGTCTTTCTCTTGATAAAATGGCATAAAGTTGAACTCAAATCACTGTGGTAAGTCCCCAGTATCATCCCTAATATCCAAAGCAGGCCATATGGTCCCCTACTTCTTCATTCTCCACTGGTACCCTGCTATTCTTTACTTTATTCTCCAAATACCATTATGCTAAAGCTGTCTTGAATATTTCCTGAACAATTTAAAGTAACAGAGGTCTTAACAGCACAGAACACTCGAAAATTTAAAACTCAATGCTTTTTATCATTGTTCTTAGAAGTTACTTGGGCATCCCTACCACCAAGAATGTTGCCTTTTTGACCTTGCTTTTTAAAATCAAAGATCTATGGCTTAAGTTCATGTCTTTAGACCGAAAGTGATGCTGACTTTATATCATGAATAGATTAGAGGAATTTAGAAAATAAACTAAGTCCTGTGAGGGAAACTTTAAAGTTATTTTTTAAGAATGCTTTTCTACTAGAACAACTGGGGGAACGTGTTTAATTCAAATATTAATATTTGAATAATGGAGGTAGCCCAGCTTTCTCTGAATTTTTCTTCTTAAGGTAGTATTCTGATGAAATTTAGATTAAGAAGAAAATGTCTACTCAGTATATATTTTTCTTTTATTGTTAAGGTGACTTGACGATGTTGTTAGACATATGGAAGGGCTTAACTGCCTCACACACTTAGTGTTTAATGTATGACATTCTTTGACTTTCAAATCTATATTAAAACACTAGACTTTAAGTAAACTTTGTATGATTCATAAATATGTTTTGTTATGTGTTATGAATGTTTGAATCTTTAAATTTTTATTCTTTTTTAAATAAATGCACTGTAGACAAGCAATCTGTATTTAAAGAAAATAGAAGCCTGAGCACAGTATATATTAATTACATAGCGAAGTGTGGTATTTCTGGAGTAAGCAATTTTAGAATAGTAAACTAATAATTTCAAGAACATATAGCAGTGAAATATTTCTCATTTCACTCATTTTTCAGTAAAATTTATTTTTGAAATTTTGTGCTTATTTTCTGTTGTACTATGTTAATATTGTTAACTTACACAGAAGGGATTGGGTAGACTGTGACTCTAGCCACAGTTCTGCTACTGACTAAATGAATGACCTTGACTTACGTTACCTCTAAAGCCATTTTCTCATTTGTAGAATGAGGGCATCACCCTAATTTTTTCTCAAATTTCTTAACTTCTGTAACAAAGAGATTCAAAACAAACAGTATACAGTCCTGAAAAGTATTTTGAAGTCTGTAATTCCACCATCTATCTTGACACTTGAATCATCTGCCCAGTATCACTGCTAAGCAACAGGGAAAGAGCTTCTGCTGCGGATAAAAATCTGTAAGTTGCCTATACCCTCTTGAGGCAGCTCTTACCATTGACAGCTTCTGTCACCAAGTGAGCTGACATGTCTCTCCTTAATAATTTCAATCCTTGGACAACTTCTTGAATTAGAAACCCACTGTATTGTTTTCTAGTTTTTATTTTTCTAATCAAATATTCTGGTCTATCTGTTCCTCCAATAACAAGGTTTTGACATATGGATTTTGTAGGGTTTTGGATTTGTGAAATAGACATAGTATAAATGAGATGAGAAGTGAAATGTATTTAAAAATAAGATTGGATGGAAATTCTGGAGTTGATAGATTTTGATATCGATAGAGGTAATAATATATAAGAATCTCATATTTTTAACATACATAATTAAATCCCAGAGAAATGTTATTTTAAAGTCTTTGTGGACTGGTAATTAAAACAATGCTAATGTTAGGTGCTTACTATGTCCCAGACTCTATTGTTTGCTCTCTAAGTGTATTATCTCATTCAGTTTTACAACACCCTATTAGGTACACACATCTCTATTTTGGACATTAGGTAACTGATGAAGAGAAACACTAAGCATCATAAAATAAAAATTATTCCAGTATATATTGAAATTATATAAATTGTTATGTATTAGAATATAGTCTGTTCCCCTGCAAGAAATGGCTACTAATGTGTTTGATAAATCTATTGTTCTTCATATTAGTTGCTTAGATTTATAAATTGGTAATTATGGGCTAGTCAATGTGCTAGTGCCTTACATATTTTATCTCATGTCATCCTCATAGCAACCCATAAGAGAGATACTGATTTTACCCCTATTTTATGGGTGAAGAAGCTGAGAAGAATTACTTGTCAAGATCAAACAACTAGAAAGTGATGGAATTAGTTTGAATCTAGGCAGCTTGATGCTCTTAATCATCAAGCATACTGCTTCTCCAGGCTATACAGCTTTAGCATATATGAATTTGTTGAGCCAAAGAAGTAGATGGTTTTTGGCAGGCAATTCCAACTATACAAGATACAGACTACCGATGCATTCATCATAGAAGCCCTTTGAAAATAGTTCATTCCTTTTGTTCTACAAAATTGTAAGTAAGCTTACTAGGTGCCATAGAATAAATACAAAATTTGTAAGCAAGCTTACTAGGTGACATGGAATAAATACAAAGCCAAATGTTGATCTCTAATGTCAAAACAAAACAAAACAAAAAACCATCGGCTTTGTCTAAGGAAGGTAGCAGCCAAGACAAGTCACATTGCTTATTCTGGCTTTAAGGGAGATCTGGACTATTAAGTGAAATTCTAGAATGGAGGAATATTAGCAATAGCTTTTTAGTTTTTTATGAAGTTAAAATGGACTTAGATTTAACTGAAGTTTAAAGCAGAGAGATCTAATATATCTATATTGAAATTCCTGTCAAAGCTAAATACAAATACATCTTTTGGGTTGTCTGCTGGTCTCAATTATTTGTGAATGTAATCAAGAGTTGAACTGTACTTCAGTGGTAAACGATGTGGTTGCTTCCTCTTGCATTATGTTTATCTGGTTGTACATAACCTTCAGGCAAAGCACTTCTCAGAATATCAAATTTATATTGAGCTTAAACTTCATTTAAAAACTGAAGCACTGAGAACACTTAGCACATGTGAGTATTCAACAAGGGAATTCAACTCTTTCTATTTCTCTTATGTTGGTAAGTGCATTTCACTGAAAACCTTGTTTCACACTGTATTCTTCTGCATGGTTTTGGTTTTGCTTTCGTTGGAGCTCTTCAATTTGGCTTGGGAGTTCTTGTGAATCATGCTTTATTTGTCTATGACTATGCCACTTTTCACTTTCTTTTTCTCAGTGGAACTTAGAAGCATTAAACACATCTCTCTGTATAGTTAAATGTAAAAATGAACTTTTCTATGATGTGTGACAACATGGCAGTTTCACCTCATCTACACAGATACAAATATCCAAAGGAAATCATGTTTTATTTTTTCTGCAGTAGAAAAAAGTTACTTCTTATCATTAAGCACCTAAAATTTCTCCTCTGAAAATACAGACAAAGCTAGTGAATAAATATGTGTTGGCAGGGAAAAAAATACAAGAAACACTAGAAAAAAATTTGAGAAATATATGCAAATGAATGAGTTTTGAAAATTTGGCTAAAATTATGCATTTATAATCGTTGACCAGATCTTTACAGGGAGGCGTATTCTCTGTCGTTTTTGTTGCACAATCCACTAAAGTAGCTAGTTAGGGGTAAATATTTCTTAACCATAACTGACCATTTCTACTATAGTTTTTTAAAAGGAAGCCAGTGTAAGCACAGCAAGATGAGAATCATTTGAAAATTTCCTCCCTGAGACTCTATAATTGAAAAAAAACAGCCCTGTAACCTACTTAATAGGGTATGCTTGTTTTCAGCACAGTTGCATGCTTTCTCAAGTATTAATGAATTGTCATATTGAATTTAAAAAATTGCAAACTGCTACTTTTCAAAACATTGATTAAATACATGTTTGCTTATATAAATACAAACCCTTCAACATTTTAATACTTTCTTTTTTGTTTTATTAAATTAGATTTGTCAAGTAAAAATAGAGGTAGTTATAATAATAATAATACAAGAGGAGGCAACTCAATATTTCAAGTGATAAAATAGTTCCATTTTAACCAGTAAGAATTCTGCACATGATCATGGCATTTAGGTTTAGGATATCTATCTCTGTGGACCAGATCATATTTTTTTTTAATCTACTGTGGTATTGTTAATATGTTTCATAAGACATAGTGCAGAGCTGCTATGATCTTTAAATGTTAATGTTTTTTTCTTATCACTTTACTGTGTAGATACCCTTCATGAGACCCAACTCTGCCACAGCTCATCCTCGGAGGCAATCCTGGAAACCTCTTTTATAAGTGTGATTTTAAAAATGTGGATAACACTCTCAATAGAATACATAAAGTAAAGGAGAACAGCTATCTTGTCCTTTCCATAAGCTTATCACTGCAAAAAGTTGCCTTTGCTTGTCAGGTTTGAATAGAATGTAATTTGATTGGTTTGTTACTTGGACTGACAAGGCAGTTAATTTGCCTGTGGGATTTTTTTCTATTTTTTTCCTTGTACTTATTTTTTTTTTTGCACTAATCAGAAATATTTGATATGTGCATTGTTGAAAACTACTAGATAATGTCTGTCAGAATTGTCCTAAGTAACGTCTTTCCCTCTTGCCTCTTTGGCAAATGATGATACACAGTATTTGGACTTACTGAAGAGTAACGGAAGCCTGTGGGACTTAAATGCAATGTGTTCCTCACTGTTGTTAAACAATATCAGTAACAAATAAGAAAGACAATGCATTCCACTTGTCTGCTAATCTGTTTCATCTAACTTAATACATACATTCATATATGAAATGCTGTGCTGGAAAACAGCTATAGACTCTTACATGAATTGTTATTTCTATTTATAATATTCAGCAAAAGTGAAAGACCTGTGAAGTATATGCCATTCTAATTTTGATTATTAGTCCTAGTGTGAAAGCACTTTTAGCATGAAGTTTTCTCAGTTTTAAGCTCATTAATAACAGTATGTCTGTGTTGATCTCTAGATATTTTTTAGCAGTACCCAAATTTATTCAGTTTTTATTGATTTAATATGGACTTTCTGTGTTCAATATAATTTTATTTTCTTGACCTTAAATAAGAGATTATGAAATAAGGATGGTGATACAAAGTCTATTGACTATAGACATCCTGCCAGCTGAGAGATCTTCATCAACATCTGTATCTCCAGAGGTTTACAGAATTAAAATTTTATCTTCAAACTTTAATGATCCAGTTTTAAGTCAACGACAGAAATATGTTGAATATTCATCACTCCATCTTGAACTGATTTAGAAGAGACTCTTTGCTGAAATTGAAATGCACATATACATGTAAACTGTCAATATGTCTCTTGCAATTTCCTGAGTTATAAATGTGGTTTTGGCATCTTTTCAGGTATAGTGATAACTGAAAATAGTTCAGACTTTAGGAATAGAGTAGGCAATGTTATAAAATAGTCATGAGCAAGTGTAAATATAAAGTTGTTGTATGCTAATATTCAATAATTATAGTAAGGAACCATATTGGATAAAATGTTTAATAAAACTAACATGCATATAAAATATGTATAAACTGAGATTAACTTATCAAAAGATCTGACTACATTGGAGGAAAAATATTAATAATCTGTAGCAAAACCAGTAGCCCTTTTTTCTTTTGTAAGGATAAGAAAGGACTCATAATGTATCACCACATAAGATTAAGAAAAATTTGGTAATTATTACTATTACTAGACTCTAGGTGATTTTTAGAAAAATCACAGACTGCCATTTTCTTAAAAGAATATGCTAATGGAAGTAGACCCTGACACTCCTTGATACCTGGTGAGAAATTACTACTGGTCATTATATTTTTTGAGAAAAAAATTAGGCCTTGTGGTTTTTGTGTCACTATTAATCAAAATCCTTTCTACCTTGGTTCTAATTAGAATACTTCACTATCATCATTCTCCATCTTGTAATCTTTAGTGGTGGATACGCTATTATATATTTGGTGCTAGCCCTAAAATCTTTATCCCACATCACAGATATAAACTGAGTAAGTCGTAAGATCATTAGTCCTGCAAATGTTTATTTGGGGCAGGAAAACTTTTGAAGGAAGTAGAATAAAACATTTTCTCTTAATAGTCTCTTAAATGCTCTCATGCTCTCATATTTCTACAGTATAAAAATGAACTACTTTCTATAATTGGTCCAGTTGCTTTGAAAGGAGATGTTAATGTGTGTTCAAGAAAATATGCACTAAATGGTTCATATTTAACAGATAGATCTAAGAGAAAATTGTATGACAGATAAAAGATGGCTGTTTGTCACACATAGGGAAAAGAAAAAACACTAAAATATCAGGGAGGAAATTACATGACTTTGAAATGAAGAAGAATGACACAGTAGTATAGAGCAGTGGTTCTCAAACTTTACAGTACACCAGAATCACATGAAGGATTTGTCAAAACATAGGTTGCTGTCCTGTTCCCCTTATCTTCCTCCTCTCCACTTTATTCCCTTCTGTCTCTCTGCAGTTTCTGATTCAATGGGTCTGGGCTGAGGCCTGAATCTTTGCATTTCTAGTAAGTTCCCAAGTGGATCTGATGCTGCAGGGACACCACTTTGAGAACCATCTGTATGTAATATTTTTAAAGAATCATTCTGTTGCAGTTGACATTGATTGGATATGACTAATCTCCTTAAGAACACTCTTAAATTTTCAAAAATATTTGTGGAAGTCTTTGAAGTGGTTTCATCTACAACATATACAAAGTAATTTCTATTTTCATAAATTTAGTTAAATGTTATTTTACACCTATTATGGGGACAGCACTATATTAGGTACAGAAACAGAGGAACATAACCTTTGTCCACAATTCATAAATTCCTTGTTGAAAAAAGATTTGAAATTTGGGGTATGTTTAAACATGAAAAAATTTAGCATTAACTTTTATCCATCTCAAGTTTCAAAATTGTATCTATACATGATTTATATATAATTGATATTCATGGGTTTCTTGAATGTTTATCTGATTTTATATTTATGATGTTAAAAATAGGTTGCTGACCAGTAGTAATGAGAATATTCTCACTCATTATCCTATTTCCCTATTTTTACATCCTGTTACTTTATGAGACCACTCTTTAAACACTAATGTTCCTAATTTGACAAACTTACCACTATTTTAATGATTCACAATATGGGAATGTTTTATGAATATTTCGCCAAAAAAGATAAGAGGAATTCAGAAGGACTCTGCAGCAGAGTGGAATATTAACATCAAATTTTTTTTTAATTTTCTGAAATCACTTTTGATAGCTGAGACTTTAAGAGACTTAGCTTTAGAGCTGCATAGCATATGAAGGCAGAAATTTTTCCTATCTGTCTGAGTAAGCACTTTGTAAATTTACATAGTACTAAGGATTATAATTAAAAGTATTTCTAAGATGGACATGCTTTGCAAATACTCTTTGTAAAAATGTAGGCCTCTTTCTCCTAGTGCTTACTCTTAAAGACTTTCTGTAGGCCTGCTGATAAGATTCACTGCTGTTCAGGTACATAAGATAAAAAGAAATTGCATGCTCATGCTGGGCTTTATAAATAAAATGATATTGACCCTAGACATCATTTCATTTATTTGATTTACATCATAAAATCAAGATCTACACTATTGATTAGAGCATAAGTAGTTAATTATGAACATGGAAATACAAAGTTATGTGGGACCTGAGCACAGCAGGCTTTAATGCTGAAAATTTTCCAAGGGCATGAGCAGATGGAGATCAATTTATTAAAGAACAAAGTAGACATGTTTCAGGTATAAAAATGTCTAATCATTCTCATGCTGTGAAGAGGAACTTGACTTTATTGTGTATTTTTATATACTTTTTCATGTTTTATTTTTTCTTTCACTTACAATCTTGTAATCTAGCTGCTACAGATGTGGCTAACTGAATTGATCCCATTATTTTAGTTATCATTATATATGAATTTGGATTTCAATAATTATCCAAGTAGTTTTTCCAGTTAATATATTTTCATGTATAAAGAATACTTTGGCTTTCTTACTGCTCATTCATTCATATTGCCTGTGATAAAAGTCTATAGTGGCATTAAGGAAGGTATGTTTGAGACCTCCACTTTAGTCTTACATTTGCAAAATATGATATGTAGAAGACATTTTCTAATTATTTTGTTTAGAAAATGCTCACATAGGTGGTTAGCACTAAAATTGTTGTAAAATGTAAGGACTAACATGTCTATTGACATTAAATGTTTGGTATTTTTGTGACATTAAAATGTTTTATGTGATATTGGTAGAACACAGAATTTTGTACAAGCTTGTATTATTTTTAAAGTGATTTAATTCATGAGCCACTATCCTGTATTTCCTCCGTCTGTTAAAAAGAGTAACTGAAATAACTGGCTACCATTGAGTGGAAGCATCTATCTCTTTTGGTTAACAGATTTGCGTAGGTATTTAAGTTAGGTTTATTTAAGCAATGACAATATTCAAGATCAATTTTTTTTATCGTTCTTGTATAGAATTTTTACATAGAAATGATGAAAAAGTAAGAATGTCTAACCCCTCAATTCTCTTGATACTGAGTTTTTTTTTTTAAGGGAACAGATGTAATAGTGTATATTTTCAGAGTCAGTTCTTTATCTCACTCTATATTGACTTGGAAAGGACCTAAATAAAAATGTTCCATTGACATAAGAAATAGCTATGATTATAGAATAGCTTGGTCATAAAATATGTATATTCTTTTTCCAATCCCATGGTATGGATTTCTCTTCTTCCTGAAGTTTAGCTTATCATCTGGCTATAAATCATATGCATAGGTGGTGTACTTGTTTTAGGGTTGAAAAGTAGTTACTTAGTGTACTCACCTAGTGAAATTATCAATTGGAAATGGAAGAAGTTTAAGAAAATACTTACTTTTAGCCTGTCAGGCACAGGCAGAAAAAAATCAGTTGTTTCTTTTTGCTTGTATCATATTCCCAGTAATTAGGTAAACATGTGATTCTATGGATCATAGGACATATGAACATAAATCATTTTCTTCCTCTTCTTTGTCTAGGGTACTTTACTTAACCATATGCTAAGTAAGTATTTTAAATATATATAATACTGTTTATTTGGTCACTGTATTTTGTTAAATGAATGTGTAAAAGACCATATATATAGCTGCTTTATTGATAATTTACATCAGTATTCATTATGATTTTGATGCCTAGGAAGTTGTATTTAGTAAGAATCAAATTAATTGGGTATCCTTTTCTCTTTTAAATAGGATTCACTTCATGTCATCTAAAATTCTATTTTAAAATGCCATATAATGTTAATGTGTACAATATTTATTAGATGTTTAAAGGATACTTCTTTAAGCATTCAGTTTCCATTTTATTAAAAAAATTCATAGTGTTTCTTTATAGATTAGTTTTATATTATCTTTTAATATTTTAAGACATTGCCTTCCTAGTTAACATATGTGCTATTTGTATATTAGCCTTTTTATTACATAAACAGTTGTGTTATTTAATAAAGTATATTGTGTTATATCACTTTGCTTTTGTGGGTCAATGACTGCTTCTGCAAAAGAGTTTTAATACATGTTAGTCACGATTTTTGATAAGTATGTACTCTGCTGTGTGCTGCAATTATGTGTTTACAAGTGTAGTAAGAAATAGGAGTAGAAACTGTAATTACCATGTGATCAATAACTATTTCAACTCTATTTCAGCTTTTAAGTAGCAGAATGAATGCAGACCCTTAGGAGTTTCTGATTCTGAATTTTTTTAAATGATCTAAGTTTGTAATATAGCCAGAATTTGTTGGCTGACAAAATTTGCCGCAATTTACAAGTGGTATATATATATATGTGTGAAATAAGTAATCTACTATTTTTACCATCTACATTGTTCTTTGATTTCTGGAATTCTTAATGGTGTCTGTTACATTTGCCTATCTCATATTAATTCTTCAAATTCTGCTCAAGTTCACTTGTGTCACTGAGGATATTTCTGTTACCAGCCCATAAAGCTGTAGATTTCTTCAATTTAATAGTGTAGAAAACAACCAGATTTTTCCCACATGGAAATAATTTTAGTCACTTGAGCTTATTATTTGTGTATTTGTTTATTGACAGAGTTATGGATTTCAAGATTGGGTCATTTATATTTTTGTTTTCCTTCTGGATTTTAGCAGGTTCTAAGTGTATTAACTACTCCTTTTTACTGTTCAGTCTTGGAATTTCAGTTTTATTTACTGATGAGTGAGTTATAACTTGAGAAAACTCCCATAACACCCCCTACTTTTGACAAGCAAATTTTGCCTTTCCTCTGGGACCTGTCACAAATACATTATAGTTCTACATGTAGACTAAGTCATTGTAAAAGGTATCACTAATGAAGGATTCAGCAGGACTAGGTCACTTCCAAATGGCATATACTTCAACATTATCTTCTAACAAATATAGCATATAAAGCCTTTCTTTTCCCTTTGTATTTATTCTTAAGCTAAAAAGTAGCTTGATTTTATAATTAACTGAAATCAACTACAAATTGGAACTATATCAATAAAGCAAACTTGTTCTTAACTTATTAGCTAGAAGTACATAGATATACCAACAAGAATCACCCACATACATGAAGGTGAAAAATAATGAATTATGATTTACCTTTGTATTCATCATGGTGTTTGACTTGAGTTATACACTAGAAGTCATAATTCACAGGTTATTATGACATAGCTATAAAGTAAATATGTAACAATTAGGTTGTAATTGATATGAACTAGGAAAACATTAATTCCCTAATTCTTCACCTATCAAAAGCCCAGATTATTGGCAATCTGAACTATATGGAAAACTTGAAGTTAAGCAAAAAAGACTATATATATTTAACAAAATTCAGTACATGTACTTAAATCAGTAGAACTTACCATTTTCATGTCTTTTTACTGTCAGTTTTCATAGTCTTAATAAGTTTAGTGATCTGGTTTTTGAATAGATAACAAATTATTTTTGGGGAAATGCTGCTTTGATGAATACATCAACATATCAGAAAGCAGTGGCTGGTCCTTTTCAGGCAAGGATCCTGAGAAATCTATTAAAGTTGATTATAGGAATTCAAACAGAACAGCAGACTGACGGTACTCACTCCATGTGCAAAATGCTGGCACACCATTAGACACATAGCAGCAGCATCTGTTACTCATACTCATGACCCTGAGATGACTATAAAATACAGTATATTATATTTAATGTATTTTCTTGGTGGAGCAAAGAATGTGATTCTTTTTAAATTTCCCATAAAAAATTATTGAAATACTAGTTTTCATGCTTGAAGAAATATGTCCTGAGCTATCTAGAAATCTCAACTTTCTCATAAACTGAGAAATGCTTATACTCTGAAGGTTCCTATAACTAAATTTTTAATGCAGTTGAAATGTTAACTATTGAAAGGTAAATAATTGGAATTGGGAAGAATACATAAAACTGTGTGGGCTTGCCATTTAGTCTCTTTATATTGCATTTGATGTTAGGTATATGTTATCTTTTATTTTCCCTTAATGCCAGAACAATGGGTATTTGAATATTTTAACTGCTTTTAAATATAGTTTTGGATAGTTTATTCATAACATTAGCATTATAAATAGAGTAATATTATTCCTAGTTGATTTTATTTGTCCTATATCTAGAATTATCATAGTAAACATTACTTTTCAAGTGCTTATCTTGAATCTAAAACAAGGTTCTTGTAAAAGTACATAAGTTTATTTAGTTCATAAGGAGGAGGAGGAAGAAATGCATAAACTTATGACATAAAATTGTATTTTAAACTCCTTTATACCTGAATAACTTAGCTAAGTTGCTGTATTTCTGAAACTCTTGATTCCCAAGATGGGTCTTTTGCAGATTGAGTTTTGTAGCATGATAAAAAACTTTTCTGTAAATGTACATTTATAGTCCCTTTATGTGATGGTTTTTAAAAATTAATTTTTTTCTTTATTGTTTATAGAAGTAGTTCCTTCCCTTTTATTCTAATAAAGGTTATTGAACAGTAATTTTGCACTTTATTCAAGTGATATATGTCTTATACACATTTTTCCCTTTGGTTTCTCAGTTATGGATTTCTCAAAGAGAATCTGGTAAACCAATGTGAAGTTGTTTTTTTTAATTTAAAAAGAGCACAAAGAAACTGAGCAATATAATCCTTTCTCTAAGATGTATACATTTTCGTTATTTGTTGCTAAACTTTGGTCTTCTTTTTCCAACTGATGCAAAATTCCTTATACAAACCACTGAAATAATACAGATCTCTCTTCATTGTCAGCAGGATGACATTGTCTGAAACGAAGAATAGGTATGATAGTTTTCTTAGATTTTGTACATGACAGGTGGCAAAGACACTATCAAAACATTTGTTAATAAGCTCTAAAATGTACTAGGAGGTACTCTGGAAAACCAAATGCACTAAGAGAAAGAGACAGGTAAATTTTGAGAAAACTTGTATTTAATAAAGTAATATAAAAGTCTTAGAATGGTTTCTATTTGCTATAGATTGTGTTAGCATGATATAAACATTAGTAAATTCATTTACAGTCTCCCTTAACCTGGAGAGAGGAATGAGGTATAAATTGTATAGAATTGATTACAGAGTAGTATAGCCTAGTAGAATTCCTTAGAATTCTAAATATTTTCTAATCATGATGTATTGGACTGAATTGATAATCTTAAATTATATATACTATTAAATGTTTTTAAGTTAATGGGCAAGTGATTAACTCTTAAAGTTCAAAATTGAAATTGTTTTGAGCACATATGGCTATGCATGTATACATTAATTCATGTACTCTTAACGATTTTACTATCAGTGTGTTCTGAATGATATTTGTTTTGTTTGTTAATTACATTGTTGCTGTATTTTGTTTTTCCTAAAACATTTATTTCAGGTTTAGATTGTCTTTGTCATAAACATTAATAATCTTAGGCACTAAGGATAGAATTAAGAGTGTAAGAGTGGTATAGTTGAAATGTACAATAGTCTGCCATTTGTCTTTGAAAAAGATGGTTTTTGTATTATTTAGATAAACCATAAATCTGTTTGCCCTGCAGGTGTGATGAATGCAGACTGTGTTACCATTTTGGCTGTCTGGATCCTCCTTTGAAAAAGTCTCCTAAACAAACAGGCTATGGATGGATATGTCAGGAGTGTGATTCTTCATCTTCTAAGGTAAGGGAGAAAAAGTCTGTAAGAAAAAGTGTTTCCCTTCATTGTGATAGCTTTTGTATATCACACCATCACCTTCCTAATTTTAAGGAGAATTGGAATATGAAGTACTGACATTTTAATCTACTGCACTTTAAGAATACATTGCCATTGTTATTTTGCCCTTAAATTAAGGAATAAAACTTCAGTAAGTTATATAAATTTTCTCTAATTTGTGTATTCTTTATATTACTGTTAGCATATTAAATAGTGCACCAGTAGACAAAAGTTACCCCTCTGCTAATTTACCACACCTAGAGAATGGCAGCATAATTGTCTTAAGTTATAAAAAATTTGTTTTTATATATATTAGATTACATATATACAATATACATATATACATATATGCATATTAATATATTTAAGTGTTAACCAACAGAATAACCAATAAAATCCAGTTTTATTTTGTAGATGACTCATACTAAGTTTTTGAAAATGTTTTATAAGGTCTGTTCTTTGAGAGAACTAGTTTTATATCCTAAAATTTCTTTCTGATTTTTATTTTAGCTAATTAGCAAGGATGAAATTTCTAGTAAGTTTATTTTATAGTTTATCTCAAAAAATAAACTACTGAAATTATGTCTTCTGAATATCAGTATTATAACCCTAAATTGGGTCATCTACAGTTTAAGATTATTGTGTTTTTTTTTTAAAGTTTGTAAATTGCTAGACTCTGATGCTTTGACTCATTTGACAGAAATGTTGAATATATTTGAACCAAGACAGTCTGGTCAGGTATGGTTTAATCACATTGTCCTTCCTTAAATAGACAATGGAAATTAACTGTCATTCTAATATGGACATCAAGCCATCTTTCTTAACTGGTACTTAAATACATTTTTCTGTTCTAGAGTGAATTAAAATTGATAGTAAATTCCTGTCTGGTCATGGAATCAAAAAATATTCTTTTTATCATTAGTTAAAATGATTTGTTCCAGCTTACCATAGAAGGCATCTGTAAAAGTTTATTAAAAATTGCAGAAAAACATTTGGTTATAGAAAAAAACTAAAGTTTTGATTAAATAGCCAAATTTATTAAAAATTTCACATTCATATAATGAATAAAATAGAATATATTTTCCATTTTGTGTAATAATCAGGCATTTTTGCCCACTGTTTTAAACTATACAATATGAAGAATAAATTTCTAGTCATTTTACTAAGACCCATATTTAAGAGGGAGCATACTTAATATCAAAAAATTTTATTACATATCTAAAAAATGCTTTCTAGTCTAAGTGCAAAATAAGAGTGGGCAAGCTGTAGATTTTAGATAGTTGTCTTTTGGGACTCTGTAGTATAGCATAATTTTTCTAAGTACATTTTTTGTTTGGGGTTTGCTTCTACCCTCAATAAGCAGATTAGGAAAGCAATATTTGAAAAAGTGTTAGTGGCTTCTATAAATATACCTTTTGCATGCCATCTTTTGAAAAGGTTCTATACTGCTGTTAATACATAGTATTGTATTAAATGCAAAGAGTGGCTTTACTAAGTTACAGTAATTTTGTTAATGAATACTGAAAATGCAAGGGGTCATATTTCACATGTGTTGGGAATATATCATACATTTTGTAAATGTAGTAAGTGGTAGTAGCCATTGAGAAAGGTAAGGTGTTTCGTTTTCATTTTTCACTCTACCAGAGAATAGGTCTTTGGACTCTGAATGTAAATCCCTTAGGGAGGCACATTGTTAGAAAACTTGGCTTGTATTTGTTGTATTCTGTTTCGCATGTGATTGAATACCAGCTTTAAACATCTGACATTTTCAAAATTTCATCCAAATGTGGTGTCTAATTTTTGAAATGTCACAGCAACTTACTGTAAGGATTACAGCAGTGAATTGGATTTGTATTTTTATTACACCCCATGACTATTACATACTACTTTGCTTCAATGAGAAATTAAATTGAATGTAATAATAAGCTGAAAGTTAAGGAAACTGAATTCATTCCCTTGAATGTTTGTGTTGCATCAATTCTGTCTTGCTCACTTTTGAAGACCTCCATTCTTGGCCAGCAGGTAGTAAATTTCTGTTTTCTCTTGAAAGATGTTTGCTAGTTTTGGATCCCAAGATGAAAGCATTGATAGTGTCATGTTTTGTAATTCAGTGAATTGCTGCAGAAGCTTTTAACATCAAGAAATTAACACTGGTATATTATCACCATCTAGTCCTGAGACCTCATTTCACGTTTTGCCATTTGTCCCAGTAAAGTCCTTTATAAAAAGAGGTTCTGGTACAGAATCACTGGTTTCATTTAGGTTTCATGTTTCTCAATCTCATCTAGATAGTCCCTTAGTCTTTCTTTGACTTTCACTACCTTGCCACTTTTGAAGATTGTAGAATGTTTTTCACTTTGCATTTTTCTGACTTTTTTTGTGGTTAGATTCATTTACACATCTTTGGTAAGAATACCACAGATGTGATGTAGTATACATTCTATCAGGTGACATGATTTCAGTTTGAACCATGGATGATGAAGTTAACTTAAATCACTTGATTAAGGTGTTATCTGTAATCTCCAATCTCTTCCCCTTTCTAATTAATAAATAATTTGTGGGGAAGAACCTTGAGGTTTTGTAAATATCTTATTTCTCATCAAACTTTCATTTTCTATTTTATTCAATGGATTATGTTGATTTTTTTCATTATTTATTTAGATGTTCAAATTGTCCCAAATTTGGCTAATGGAAACCATTTCAGGCTGGTCTCTGCTACTTCATCCTTGTAGCTGTATCCTTTTGGCATGCTTCCAGCAATCTTTGTGTGCTTCCTTACTAAAGATGTTCCAGGCTCAACTTGTAGGTTTCCTTCTCCTTTTCTTGGAACCAGCCATTTCTCCAAGGAACTCTGATTTCTTTTAGCAGAGAATGGTAGGTAGAAACCAAGATCTGGGTACTAGATGTGCTCATTGTTACTGAGATGTTATTCCCCTAGGTCTTCTCAGTAGACAGAGGCAAGGACTAGATAAATGTGTGATATGTGTGTACATTCATATGCATACACATTAACATCTACTTTTCTATGTCTTTATAGATATTAGAAACCATTCTGGCTTTTCTCTCCATTCATATTTGGAAGTCCCTGACTGATTATTGGCTCCCATTATCCCTAATGTATGTTTCTATATGATTAGTCCCAATATAAAGCTAATCTCTTGTCCTCCACCACACATGGACACCAACTTTGCTTACCATAACCCAATGGCTTTTAGACTGAATTGTTCAGAAAGGGGAGAGAAAGGGAATGAGGGTGTTTATATTTATATTTTTTACAAGCTCCTCAAATTATTTTAATGAGCAGTAAGGAATAAGAACCACTATTTTATGTATTGTTTAATCCTTCAGTTATTAGAGAATTGTTTAAGTTAAAAATTTTATAGAACTTTAAAACAAAACTACACAGGTCCAACTTCTACAAACTGACACTTTAAAATTATGTTGCATCCATTGTATTTTTTAAAAATAGGGCACAGTTCACTATTCAGTCTTTTTCTAGAATATATTTGATATAGATCTCAACAAATGTCTGCTGAAATGCCCAAAAGGAAGATAACTTATTTTGACATGGTTGAATGAAAGTGTATAAATATTTCTTTTTAAAGTGCTATATCCAAGTATATATTAAGAAAAGCCACTGAGACTTTAAATATACATCACATATTTTACAGTGACTGTGCCAATTATGCTTCTAGCTTTTTATCCTTGTTTAAGCTCTGTTTTATGAAAAGCCATACAGTATAGATGACAGGTCATTATCTGACTGCTACAATATGAGCTGTCTTAGTTTAGAGCCCTCTACTTGGTTCACTCCTATTTGATCTTCTAGTGTACTACTATTTTTGACCAGTAATAAGTTGAATTCATAGGCACAGAAATCTCATCTAAATCCCTAATAGAAGATTTTCTAGAACTACAAATGCATTGTATAACTGCTGAGGCAAATAGCACTTTTTGATAATCATTTATATTAGAAATACCCCAAGGGAAGTATGATTTTTTTTCATTTTTGTTTTATTTTCTTAATTTTCTTGCATTGATCAACAAGAATTCTGTAACTGATATGCTTATATCAAAATAACATACATAAATGCTCATTTTCAAGTAAAACAGTGATTGAGAATTTTGCCTCTTTAAGAACAGAACAAAAGATGTCTCCAAGGAGTATCGTGCCACAATACATTAAACAAGCACATTTAATTGAACCTGGTAATACTGGAAATTGAATGTCTGAATTTTATGCATTTGAAGATTTATGAAAAATATAAGATTAAAATGAATTATCCATGAAAGTTCTTTTAAATTTGAAGCCTATAACTGACCCATAAAAAAAGCACTTTTTAATATTTTAACTGTTCATTTGACCTCTGGGATTTTATCTGACATTAGGTTGTAATTTAAGTTTCTGCATTTAGCATGGTTGACAGAGAAGTCATTTTCAGGTAAAACTTACACCACTTAACCATCTTAATTCAGTATTCTTCTAGCATTATGTGACAAGCTTTAGAGTTTACAATGATGTGCTTTGCCAAGCTTTACTGAGTTTCGATTTGCCTTTTTACTGATACAGGTATGAAAAGTCTAGAGAACAGTTGCTTATGCACTATCCTACATTAGAATCCCATAGAACAAATCTGTGGTGGCTACAGATATGGTATAGTCATCACTGGTGGTGGCTATAGCTAAATAGTTAAATTTTAGATTTCCTCTTTCTCGGTGTATGGATTAATGCCCACAAATTTCCAATTGATCTACTTTAACTTAGACTAAGTTCAGGTTGTTGCCAGTTATTCTAACATTTTCTCTTGCAGGCAAACTTGTTTGTATAAATGTATTTTAAGCCCTTAGTTTCTAATTGAGTGCAGTATTTTGAGACTAGTGACAATGATTTATGAAATAAAAAAGAACTGGTGCCATTCATACTCATTAACAATTCCACTAATTACAGTGGGTACTGCACTTTTTTT